AAATATCAGACGAGGAGAGAAATGACAGCACGTTGCTCAGTCCGGTGTCAAATCCCGATCTTCACACATTTTCTAACTCTTATTAGTGGTAGCTATTTACGTTTACAATGAAATCGATGGATGATCGATTCCTGCGATTTTAGAAATCCCCGGTACCAATCCCTCGAATACCGTACCTTTTCGCAAGATACAAATTGGAACCTAAAAAGGCGTGTCATTATGTTCAACATCGAAATCATCTTGCATACCAGTTGCTCAAGCCTGGTCTCGCGATTATCTGTTAACCCGATCAATTCGCGATCGCCACAACCCAAATACAGTCTAGCCACGTTAACTGACCATAGATCGTGACCATATCTGGTGAGCCAGCTATCAAGGGAAACGGACTTCTAGGAAATCGAGAATATCTCTCTTCTCCGAGAGAGTTACGGATACCTAACACGAAATATCAGAGTTCTAAAGTGGGCAGTGTATTAAGACAAACATGTCTGGTGTCTACATAGCGATGGTAGCAGTGAAGACAGCCTTCGTCAGCTAACGTGACAGAGTCTTGGTCAGTGAGTATCTAAATCGTGTTCCAATCGAAGCTCTTCTCCACTGTTAGCAATAAAATCTTCGAACCCAGCTCTGGTACACTCGGCAACCTGAATTTCCCTTCGAATAATCATCCCGGAAGCTGTTTCTCCGAGTACTTCCTCTCTCTCCTGCACCCAGGCGCGATCTCAGAAGATCTTGAACCTCTCGGTGAAGAAATCGAAGAACTTGGAAACAAATGAATCCCGCGAAGAGAAAGGAATTGGAGTCAAAGCAGACGATAGAGGGTAACACGGTGGTGGAGAAAGCAGAGGTAGAAGAAATAAGAGAAAAAGGCGAGAAGAAAATTCCTGGACCCCCGTTGGGTCGATGGAGGGTCGAAGCAACAGCTTTCGGTGGCGAACGTTTCGCGAGATGAACTTGTTTACGTACCGGGTATCGATTTACCGAGATCGAGGTACTCTCTCACAGACGGACTGAGGAATCCAGGTGGCACGGCTGGTGCCTCGTTCGTCGGATTGTTCCTCTCATCCACGTCCTCGTAGTAATAGTCCTCGTTGTCGCGACTATCCTCGGCGTCTGGGTCCACGGCTTTCGCCCTCTTCGTCACCTTGCCGCTTCCGGCGTCTCGTATGCCCTCTGAAACGTGAGATAGGTGTGATTGATATGTCTTTCGCTCCTATTCTAACTTCGCAGAC